GGCGGCTAGATCACGACTGGCTTCTAAGATGGCTATTCCGAGACTTTCCTCTTTGGCGGTTAATTCCAGACTGACTGCTTCTCATCGAAGCTGGGCTATTTTATATCCTCGCCGCTGCTAGGCAAATGAACCCTCTGTTATAACCATGGAGACGTTGCTTTGTTTGTCGTAACCGTGGAGATTNACTGTTACATTTATTATTTGTAGAGTATAATTTATTTGTATACTGAACTTCTCTTAGACTAGCATTAGTATTATTTAACAGATAAGTTGTGTTATTATTAACATCATTATTAATTAAGTTTAGGTGTAGGTCTCTCGTAAAAAACACCCCTCTCTGGTGTATGCAGCTTTCTAGATCTAATAGGGTATCTTAGTGTTAGTGTTACCTTATGCTCATTATATGTTTCATTACTACTAGTAGGATGATTTTGCTGTTCTTCGATACTATCATAACCTGTGTATGAAGTATTTACTGTTTCTAAGTTCACCTTTGTCTCTAGTTTCCATTTCAGGCTAATTACATTGATAATGTTTTCCTCTGTTAGTCTGTAGATTTCCCTTGCTATTTGTTTAGCTATTAAATACTTTCCTGACCTATTTAGATGTAGCCCATGTTGTGTGAACATTTCTCTGTTTACTCTTGGCTCTAATATTGTTACATGTTTAAGTTGTTTGGTAGCCTTCCTCAGTTTTCAATTAAAGACCTGAATTCCCTTGTTCACAGTGGAATTCTTTACTAGGTCATATCTGGATGGAATGTCTGTCACTATTATGTTAGTATTATTTAAATTCTTACAAAACTTCATGATCTGCATTAATGCAGCCTCCGCATTATTACTATATATATCATTTTATCCACCCTGTATCACAATTATGTCCTTTTTTGTTAGGTTCTTATACTTTCTACTAGATTGGGTTATTATGTCAGCTATACCTGCACCTGGCTTCACTATACCATGAACCTGAAATTTATTTCCTAGGTAGTCATCAATCTTAGTTGCAATTCCCTTTGAGTGACTATCACCTAGTATTATTATAATATGATTATTATTTTCTTTCCCTTCATTCTTCAATTCCTTATAATTGGGGTTATTTATTTTGTTTAAGCTATTATGAATGAAACTTCGAACCGGTATTAAATTGTCATATTTGTTAGTTACTATTTCACCATTTACTATTACAGGTATTTGTTTCTCTTTTGTATTGTTACCAGAAATTAGGATTGGTTCTTTATCACATGTAACAAGATTGGTTTCTTTCAACTTTGGTTCAGAGTAGGTTTCCTTGAGGCTGGATGGGGCATATTCTTCGTTTGTTGTATGGTCTATCAAATTTGATAGAATATCGTATTTGTTATTTGTAGCGAGAGGAAGGTATGGTGTACCTGATCCTTTTAGTTCACTGTTCCTTCTAGTATTTATATGTTTTAAATTCAGTATTACTCCAATCACTTTGTGATTTGTCCGATTTCTCATTCAGCGTTTTACCAGTCATAACCTCAAATTTAGTGGAAATCTCTTCTAACTCATTAAACAGGAGTTTATTTACTAATTGCAATGATTTTAACTCAGAGAGCGTATGTTGTAATTTGTTTCCAAGTTCCGGGCACCTAGAATAGTTATATATAACCTGACCAAACTCTTCCTGTATATCTTCCGTTAAGTTTTGCCTTATTAAATTGTTGAATTGCTCTTAGTTCGATATGTGTCTTTTCTAACTCGAAATCCAATTATGCACATGAAAAACACAATATGTCACTGAGTTCTCACTATTGTTTACTATAACTGGAACACTATTTGCACGGTTCATCTTACTGTCCGGGGCAGGAAAGTGTTGTTCATAGAATTGTCGCCTGTTTGGAATCCAGAAGCCTTACTTCCGTGGGAACTGCCCACATTCATGCAAGTGTGACAAAGCAACGGCTTAGCAAAGGCGAGTAAACAGCTGTTGTTGGCAAAGCGAGTAAACACATGTTGCTACGCAAAGCGAGTAAACGACTGTTGCTAGGCAAAGACTACATCAATACGGACAGTGACATTTTCTATAAGTCCGACTCTAGGTTATATAAGAAGATACACTGAGAGAGGACAGCAGTTTTTCAGCACGGCTACAGAAGCAATCTACAGTGTTAGAAGCAGCTACAAAAGGAGCAGTACAGTTAAATCTCAGTGAAACAACAGTAGCCTTTCAGCATTGGAAATACAGAAGCAATTTACCGTGTCAGAAGCAGCTACAAAAGAAGAAGCAATACAGGAAAATATCAGTCAGGCGTCTACAGTTTTAAGCAGCACTATGTTGCGGTTATTAACGATTATAAAGAGCTTCGAACGGAGATGGTGGAGATGGTTGACAGGGGCCCCGGATAGTGAAATGAGTACAGCTACAACACAAAAAGAGACATCAGATATGGAGAAAGAAGAACTTGGGAAAGAACTGGCACGTGCTTTGGAAAAGGTTGAGTCCCTAAAATTGAATTGCGAACAGCCATATCACAAAAGGAGACTTCAGATATGGAGAAAGAAGAAATGGGGAAAGAGTTGGCACATGCTATGGAAATGGTTAAGTCCGTAAAATGTGATTTGATGACAGCTACAGTAATGTTGAGCTTCTAAATGGTGTGACTGTAAGAGCGAGTGTGAAATAAAATTCGTTATATCTAATAAGGCGTGAAGTTATTTGTCGCGTTATACACCCAACACGTGACAATACCATTCTTTATTGCATTCAAAGATCGAACATTGGTACAAACCACAAGATATAAAAACTTGTCACAGAATATACTACGTGTATCAAGCAGAACGACATACATTTCACAATATACGTGTATGCAACAAGCCATCATAAAATAAATGTTGTCAGTTACGTATGCAATACCTGTAATTAAAGCAAATCTACAAGAACCTAAAACCAAATACAGAATCTATATCTATATATCTATTTCTTCTTTCTTCAAATCTGAGGTCTCTTTTCGTGATTTGGCTGTTCGCAATTCAGTTTTTATGGACTCAACCTTCTCCAAAGCACGTGACAGTTCCTTCTCCATCTCTGCTTTATCCAAGTCTGAGGTACATTTTTATTATGTGGAGTTCTTCAATTCACTTTTTAGAGCCTCAACCTTTTCCATAGGATATGTCAGTTGTTTGCCAAATTCTTCTTCCTTCAAACCTGAGGTCTCTTTTCGTGATTCGGCTGTTCGCAATTCAGTTTTTAGGGCCTCAGTCTTCTCCAAAGCACGTGAGTTCTTTCCCCATCTCTGCTCTCTCCAAGTCTGTGGTATATTTTTGTGATGTGGTGTCTTCTCCTTGTCTCTTCAAGTATCTTTTATATTATATTTTTCCTGAATGATATCATATAACCGGTCAATTTCAGCTATCATTTCATATGTTCGTACTTCCCAGTTACTAAGTTCCAGCAAATCCATTGTGGTCTGTGTTTCCGTACTGAGTGTAGCCCTATTTTTTTTGTGGCCAACTCTTCCATAGCAGTTGCCAGTCTTCCTTCAATCTTTGTTTTCTCAAAATCCGATGTATTTTTTTCTGATATGGCTGTTTGCATTTCACTTTTTAGGGCCTCGACCTTTTCCAAAGCACGTGTCATTTCTTTCCCAATTTCTTCTTTCTCCATATCCGATGTCTCTTTTTGTGATGTAGCTGTCATCAGATCACATTTTACAGCCTTAACCATTTCCATAGCATGTGCCAACTCTTTCCGCATTTCTTCTTTCTCCATATCTGAAGTCTCCTTTTGTGATATGGCTGTTCGCAATTCAATTTTTAGGGACTCATCCTTTTCCAAAGCACGTGCTAGTTCTTTCCCAAGTTCTTCTTTCTCCATATCCGATGTCTCTTTTTGTGATGTAGCTGTCATCAAATCACATTTTACGGCCTTAACCATTTCCATAGCATGTGCCAACTCTTTCCGCATTTCTTCTTTCTCCATATCTGAAGTCTCCTTTTGTGATATGGCTGTTCGCAATTCAATTTTTAGGGACTCATCCTTTTCCAAAGCACGTGCTAGTTCTTTCCCAAGTTCTTCTTTCTCCATATCCGATGTCTCTTTTTGTGATGTAGCTGTCATCAAATCACATTTTACGGCCTTAACCATTTCCATAGCATGTGCCAACTCTTTCCGCATTTCTTCTTTCTCCATATCTGAAGTCTCCTTTTGTGATATGGCTGTTCGCAATTCAATTTTTAGGGACTCATCCTTTTCCAAAGCACGTGCTAGTTCTTTCCCAAGTTCTTCTTTCTCCATATCCGATGTCTCTTTTTGTGATGTAGCTGTCATCAAATCACATTTTACGGCCTTAACCATTTCCATAGCATGTGCCAACTCTTTCCATATTTCTTCTTTCTCCATATCTGAAGTCTCCTTTTGTGATATGGCTGTTCGCAATTCAATTTTTAGGGACTCATCCTTTTCCAAAGCACGTGCTAGTTCTTTCCCAAGTTCTTCTTTCTCCATATCCGATGTCTCTTTTTGTGATGTAGCTGTCATCAAATCACATTTTACGGCCTTAACCATTTCCATAGCATGTGCCAACTCTTTCCATATTTCTTCTTTCTCCATATCTGAAGTCTCCTTTTGTGATATGGCTGTTCGCAATTCAATTTTTAGGGACTCAACCTTTTCCAAAGCACGTGCTAGTTCTTTCCCAAGTTCTTCTTTCTCCATATCCGATGTCTCTTTTTGTGATGTAGCTGTCATCAAATCACATTTTACGGCCTTAACCATTTCCATAGCATGTGCCAACTCTTTCCATATTTCTTCTTTCTCCATATCTGAAGTCTCCTTTTGTGATATGGCTGTTCGCAATTCAATTTTAGGCGACTCAACCTTTTCCAAAGCACGTGCCAGTTCTTTCCCAAGTTCTTCTTTCTCCATATCTGATGTCTCTTTTTGTGTTGTAGCTGTACTCATTTCACTATCTGGGGCCCCTGTCAACCATCTCCACCATCTCCGTTTGAAGCTCTTTATAATCGTTAATAACCGCAACATAGTGCTGCTTAAAACTGTAGACGCCTGACTGATATTTTCCTGTATTGCTTCTTCTTTTGTATCTGCTTCCTAGGCAGAGCGAGTAAACGGCTGTTGCTAGGCAAAGACTACAACAATACGGACAGTGACATATTTTCTATAAGTCCGACTCTAGGTTATATAAGGAGATACACTGAGAGAGGACAGCAGTACCCTGTGTGGAGGCGGGGTAGAATACCTCCACCGTGACCCTGCGAGTCGTAGGAGGCGATGAAAAGGGAAGTCTCACGTCTGAGACAGAAAAATAAGGTCACTAATCTCAAGGGACTTGGACCTGAGAAAGACTGCGCTGGCAAAGGCTAGCAACATATACAAAAGACAGACCCGTCCACTCGTCAGAGAGGACGCCCCACAAAAGCAAGACCGTAAGTGTGAAACAGTAATATAAATATCTGGTCATGAGCCCCAGATAGGGCTCGACACCAAGACTTACTGACTGACTGACCGTCAGTCGCAATGTGACTTGAACTTGAGGACAGCAGTTTTTCAGCACGGCTACAGAAGCAATCTACAGTGTTAGAAGCAGCTACAAAAGGAGCAGTACAGTTAAATCTCAGTGAAACGACAGTAGCCTTTCAGCATTGGAAATACAGAAGCAATTTACCGTGTCAGAAGCAGCTACAAAAGAAGAAGCAATACAGGAAAATATCAGTCAGGCGTCTACAGTTTTAAGCAGCACTATGTTGCGGTTATTAACGATTATAAAGAGCCTCAAACTGAGATGGTGCAGATGGTGGAGATGGTTGACAGGGGCTCCGGATAGTGAAATGAGTTCAGCTACAACGCAAAAAGAGACCTCAGACTTGGAGAGAGCAGAAATGGGGAATCAACTGGCACACGCTATGGAAATGGTCGAGGCCTTAAGATGTGAGTTGAGAACAGCTAGAACACAAAAAGAGACATCAGATATTGAGAAAGAAGAACTTGGGAAAGAACTGGAACGTGCTTTGGAAAAGGTTGAGTCCCTAAAAATTGAATTGCGAACAGCCATATCACAAAAGGAGACTTCAGATATGGAGAAGGAAGAAATGGGGAAAGAGTTGGCACATGCTGTGGAAATGGTTAAGGCCGTAAAATGTGATTTGATGACAGCTACATCACAAAAAGAGACATCAGATCTGGAGAAAGAACAACTTGGGAAAGAACTGGCACAAGCTTTGGAAAAGGATGAGTCCCTAAAATTGAATTGCGAACAGCCATATCACAAAAGGAGACTTCAGATATGGAGAAAGAAGAAATGCGGAAAGAGTTGGCACATGCTATGGAAATGGTTAAGGCCGTAAAATGTGATTTGATGACAGCTACATCACAAAAAGAGACATCGGATATGGAGAAAGAAGAACTTGGGAAAGAACTGGCACGTGCTTTGGAAAAGGATGAGTCCCTAAAAATTGAATTGCGAACAGCCATATCACAAAAGGAGACTTCAGATATGGAGAAAGAAGAAATGCGGAAAGAGTTGGCACATGCTATGGAAATGGTTAAGGCCGTAAAATGTGATTTGATGACAGCTACATCACAAAAAGAGACATCGGATATGGAGAAAGAAGAACTTGGGAAAGAACTGGCACGTGCTTTGGAAAAGGATGAGTCCCTAAAAATTGAATTGCGAACAGCCATATCACAAAAGGAGACTTCAGATATGGAGAAAGAAGAAATGCGGAAAGAGTTGGCACATGCTATGGAAATGGTTAAGGCCGTAAAATGTGATTTGATGACAGCTACATCACAAAAAGAGACATCGGATATGGAGAAAGAAGAAATTGGGAAAGAACTGACACGTGCTTTGGAAAAGGTCGAAACCCTAAAAAGTGAAATGCAAACAGCCATATCAGAAAAAAATACATCGGATTTTGAGAAAACAAAGATTGAAGGAAGACTGGCAACTGCTATGGAAGAGTTGGCCACAAAAAATAGGGCTACACTCAGTACGGAAACACAGACCACAATGGATTTGCTGGAACTTAGTAACTGGGAAGTACGAACATATGAAATGATAGCTGAAATTGACCGGTTATATGACATCATTCAGGAAAAATATAATATAAAAGAGACTTGAAGAGACAAGGAGAAGACACCACATCACAAAAATATACCTCAGACTTGGAGAGAGCAGAGATGGGGAAAGAACTCACGTGCTTTGGAGAAGACTGAGGCCCTAAAAACTGAATTGCGAACAGCCGAATCACGAAAAGAGACCTCAGGTTTGAAGGAAGAAGAATTTGGCAAACAACTGACATATCCTATGGAAAAGGTTGAGGCTCTAAAAAGTGAATTGAAGAACTCCACATAATAAAAATGTACCTCAGACTTGGATAAAGCAGAGATGGAGAAGGAACTGTCACGTGCTTTGGAGAAGGTTGAGTCCATAAAAACTGAATTGCGAACAGCCAAATCACGAAAAGAGACCTCAGATTTGAAGAAAGAAGAAATAGATATATAGATATAGATTCTGTATTTGGTTTTAGGTTCTTGTAGATTTGCTTTAATTACAGGTATTGCATACGTAACTGACAACATTTATTTTATGATGGCTTGTTGCATACACGTATATTATGAAATGTATGTCGTTCTGCTTGATACACGTAGTATATTCTGTGACAAGTTTTTATATCTTGTGGTTTGTACCAATGTTCGATCTTTGAATATGATATGATATGGTATTGTCACGTGTTGGGTGTATAACGCGACAAATAACTTCACGCCTTATTAGATATAACGAATTTTATTTCACACTCGCTCTTACACTCACACCATTTACAAGCTCAACATTACTGCCATCGGCAGTATCACAAATACTAGACTGATTACTCTTCCCTGGCCAGCTCGTAACTAACTCCTGAACAGTCTTCGCTGCTCCTTATTTAGCCCAGTTACGGACAACACAGAAAACAGTTACGTAATAGGCACCACTGCTGTCTGATGCCGTGTTTGCCGATAGCCTAGCAACGCTGCCGGGAGTTGTTTACTGCTGAGTGGCAACGGCGGCATCCCGTGTTACGTCACTGCGGGAGGGGGCGGGGTGTTGACTGGCCTATTACCGTAGCAACGGCAACGCTCCGAATGTGTTACGTCACCGCTGGCACGGGAAGGGCTGTCATGCATATGATACAAATCTCGAACAGGCTAACGGTGTTGAATAGGAACTTGAACAGTGGGAGCAAAACAGCACCAGTGAAGGACCAGTGACAGAGGAGCTACACAGAGAAGTATTCAGCATACTCTACCACAGTGCTGTCCAACGTTCTTATGTACTCGGGCACAATTCACTGTTGCCTAAGGAGGTGTGGGCGCCACCGCACTACTACTACTACTACTACTTAATACTACTATTTCGACTACTTCTTAAATAATAATAATAAAAACAACAACAATAATAAAACAATTAGAAATTTAATACTGACTAAATCTTTTGTTAATATTGTGACATGTTGACCCCTACCTCCCCAGCTGCACGTAGCGGTAACGTAGCGCTCGCGTAATAGGCGAGTAATCACCCCGCATCCTGGTAGTTATGCAACGCGCGGTGACGTCACGAGCGGAGCCGACGTTAGCCGAGTCCCCGCAACCTTGAAGCTATGCAAAGTGAGTCAACAGCGGTGACGTCACCGAGGGATATCGCGGTTGCCAGGCAGCAGTCAACAACTCCGGACAGCGTGGCTAGCAACACGGCACCAGACGACAATTGTCCGACCGAGGCTACATAAGGAGCAGCGAAGGCTATTCACAGCAAGTCCTGGAGCTACCGCCGAGTGAGTCCTCGAGCTACCTCCGAGTTAGTTCCGAGTTAGCCAGCAACCAGTCAGTTGTATTGTGGCATTTGGAGTGTACTATTTGTGATACTGCAGATAGCAGTAATCGTAAATCTGTAATTTGGGTGATTGTAAGTGCGAATGTGAAATAAGATTCGCTATATAAAATACGGCGTGAAATTATTTGTCGCGTTATATGCCCAATACGCGACAATATAATTATATTTACTTACAGTCTTACATAGCGGCCTCCATGGTCTAGAGGTAACGTTCCCACCTCATGACTTGTAGTATGCGAGTTCAAATACCCGGTGGAGGTTGTCGAATTTTTAAGGGCGGAAAAATTCAGGGAACAAGCCTTCCGGGAGGGGCTTTAAGCCGTGGGTCCCGTGTCGTAGCTTTATGGCACGTAAAAGAACTTCGTGTCTCCAAAGGAGGCCACTGAGCAAAATTGCGGACGTTTCCCGCCCAACAGCAGTCACTAATACCTCCGGTAGATGGGGGAAGCATTATAGATACTTCTCAGCCAGTAGAGCCAGCCTCACTGGCTGGGCGGGCCTGATGGTAAGCACCAGTACCGGTAGGATATAGAGTCTGGTAGAAATCATAGAGGGAAGCACAATGGACCATTACAGGTCTAAGTGCATGGGGAAACCCACCCTCTCTCATAACTAACTAACTAACTAACTACAGTCTTACATAATTAGTGTGAAATCTGACACTGCATGTTAGCTGCAAGTTGTCAAAAATATGGTGTGTAGCTGGAACAGGCTGCTCTTAGTGCATCATCTAAGTGTGAGTCTGTTAGGTAGGATCGGTACTTATTTTGATGTTCATAGATGAAAATGCGACTTCGCACAGATACGTTGAACCAAAACATGAATACATTTTCAGAGAAATGCTATGAATCATGGGATATTTATTCCTGTCCACCAGAGTCCAGAAATTGCTACAATATGCAAAAGAGGATTTCAAAGATATGTCTTCCTGAAAATTTAAAATTTCCATTTCTAATTCTTCAAGATTATACTCTCCAAAGATTTCACACACCTCCCCTCCAAGTTAACTAACATTAACAGTAGTGAATGGATTACTGACAAACATTGTCACTGGTTCAAGTGATGAAAACTGGCGAAATCTGTTACCAAATTCGGTCTCAAAGACTTCAAGATGCTGGGCAAAAGATGGAAGATCGTATTCACAGCCATTTAAGGTTTCCAAAACAGATTTCATATGCGGAAAATATGAGAAGGAATTTCTGTTTAAATGTGCAATCCATAGCTTTAGTTTCTTTTGAAAAGCATTAACTACACTTATCATGCCTGAAATGTTACAAACTTTCCCTTGTAATTCAAGAGTTAACTCATTTAATTTTGAGGTGATATCTGTCAAGAAAGCTAAACCTAGTAGCCATGATATTTCATCAAGTTCTTGATAATATTGGCCAGGAGATGATCTCAGAAAGTCCCCGACCTCATCCAGAAGACAGCAAAACTGTTCCAGTGTTTTCCCCCTACTAAGACACCTTATGTCTGCAAGGAAAATCATGTCACCATGCTCAGTGTCCGACACACTCAAAAGATTTATGAACGATCTATAACGAGTAGAAGACGATCTGATATAATTTACCACACGAGTTAACACATTCATGACATGGTCGAACTTCAAAACCTTTGCGCATAAAGCTTCCTGGTGGATAATGAGCAAGGAACTCATTGTTCCTACCAGTAATTGAAGGCGTCCCATCTGAGGTTATAGCAACAAGTTTTGAAA